ACCGCACCCCGCCCCGCCGCGACAAGCCAAGCCGGCCACAAATAGACTCGCCAAACGGCTTGTTTTTGATTCCAGGCTGTTTACCCACTGTACTCTCCTCGTGGCGACGACGCGAGGCTCGGCGCGTCGGCACGGACGGACGGACGGACGGTCGGACGAGGACGGCTTGCCCCGCCAAGCCGGAAAGTCACGATGGGTTCTCAATCGTGCGGGCGCGAAGTGTGTAGCCGTTTGAATGAAATTTCGAACGTCAGTACGTCGACCGTCGTCCCCGCGGGCACGGGTCGTGAACCACTCGCGCTCACACGTCGGTCGAGAGAGTTGGGCGGGGCGGGTCTGCGCCGGCCTTGAGGGAGGGCAGGGCTTGTAGCTTGTAATCACGCGGGTGACACCAGGGCGCCAGCCGCGGGCCACGCGCCGCCCGCGCGCCAACCTGCGTTACCTGATCCGCGTCAGCCGCGCGGGGCGCCTCCACTCGAACTCGTCCACTCCCCATCAAAACATCGAAAAATGACATGATCGAATTAATATCGAAACGACATCAATTATCAGAAATGTGTCGATTATAGCATCATTTCTGGGTCGGTTCGACGTGTGGGAAAGTCGGTCATTTTGGTTCGATTTCGGTGTCGTCCGGATGTTTTTTGATGCTATCATTACGCACTGGCTCATGAGGCTCTCCAATGGATCTGACTCCACGCACATATGCAACCAGTTAATTTCACCGGAAAAGGTGGAGAAGCAAAAAGCGCGGTTCTCGTTGAACGCCGACGCTGTGCCACGCCCTCATTCAGCTGGAGGAAAAATAAACTCTCGATGTTCTATTCGCTATTCTTTACAATTCCTGATCATAATACAAACACATCTAGCGGTGCACGAGCTCGAGCCAAATTCAGTGGTAGTCTCAATAATTGTAGACCTAGACGACATACCACCCTGTGGCGGTAAAGCCCCGTCGTCGAGTCGCCGGGTTTCGTTGCGATACTGTACACAGTGTGCCGCATGCACGCGTGTGTGCGTGTTGCCTACTCGCTCGGGCTGTAAGACGCCATCGAGCGAGTAGGCAATAAATAAACTACGTCTAAATCCGACGTCGCTTTTCAACACCAACACCTCAGGTCCGGTGGTACAGCCTGAGCAGCGTCCGTAATGTGCATGCAGGGAATGCCCCCCTGCGCGGCGACAGAGCTTGTTTCGCGCTCACCCGCGAGCTCGTCGTCGTCGGCCGTTCACATTATTTTGATCGCGGCCTTTGCTTTTATCTCTCTCTCTCCCTCTGCCTCTCGCTTTCTCTCTCTCTCTCCCTCTATCGGCTGAGCGGATCGCGCGTTCACGCGACGACCGCGTGGAGCTTGGAGTGCATATCGCGGCACGCACTCACTTTGGACGATAATAATAATAAAAAAAATTCATCCGACCGCAGCGCAGCCGGTGAGAAGTCAGTCCTCTAGCTTTGGCTTTTGATAGCACCACCGCTGACATGAGGACACACAACTAATCTTGGTGCAAACAACTTGTACAGGTTGGTCCGTCAGCCCCGTTCTCTCTTCTGGTTGTGCTGTACACCGCATAGGCGTGCGGACGGGTTGCATGCTCGCACGGGGCCGCAAGGCGCCTGGGTGAGCGACGATAGGCAAGCCCGCCCGCGCGGCCGCATCCGGTACAGCTCAGCTAGAATAAAGAACGGGACTGTCGGGCCACCCTGTACAAGATCACAAGGTAATGCCTAACACAATGAATCAACCTATTAATGCTAGAGACCCAATATTCAAATTTTGCTGAAGTCGTGCTGAAGCCCCAAATGGGCTTATGGTGACCGGTTCGGCACCAAGGGCGTGGGGGGCGCAATTGCGGCGAGGAGCGAGGGCGAACAGGGCAGTGGTGGTCTAGGATCCTAGACCCGAGCGATGACAGATGTCAGCCCACCGGCGCCGTTCTTTCTCTTTCTTCGGGTAATACAGCCCCATGCGTGCGTGCGGACGGGTTGCAACCTCCCACGGGGCCGTAAGGGTAAGGGCGCCTCGGTTTGAGCGCGACGTTCGGCCAGTCCGCCAACACGCGTGCATCCAGTACACGACGAGATAATTTGCAATGCATACCCTCGGAGGCGTGGCGCCTTATGGGTGGAGCGAGTAGGCAAACCCACAAACTTTTGTCTCATGGCCCTGACACGCAGCATGTAATCAGAAGAAAGAACGGAACGGTGCCGATGGGTCACCCTTAGTAAAGAAAGGCAAAACAAAGGAACCCAGGGAGAAATTGAGTTTCTGGCCTCGATCGACCATCGACCATTTTAGAAATTGTATTTTTTCCCTGGGGAAGTGCTGAACGGCAATCAAATCTATATGAACGGCAATATCTGTCCAAAACTGGAAGGATTGGTCCTCCATGAAACCTGGAAAGGACATTGGCAATTATGATCAAAACGTGAGTCACACGTGAGACTTTTACTTCGGGTTGAGAGACTGGGGCCTACCCCAAGAGCCTGTCTTAATAAAAATGAAGGAGTCCTCTTGTTGTTTTCGGGGGAGCTGGGGGCGAAAGTGCGGGGAAGCCTGCTACGTACACCTAGCGAGTTCATCATACTCTAAGCTGCAGGGGCGGCCCCAGTGTGATAAGCCCCTGCACGCCCCCGCCACGCCCCGCCACGCCCCGCCACGCCTGCCCCGATCAGCTGTGCGGGAGCGGTCGGGCCGCTGCCGGGCCGAGCGAGGTTGCCTCGCGTGCCCCGGTCACCCAGAGCCAGTCTAGTGAGAAGCAGCCAGCCGCCCGGTCCCCGTCAGTCCATCGTCCGTAGCCTCCAGGACCCCGACGACCCCCGACCGCCACCTCGAAAGAAACGACAAGCAGGCCGGACAGGCTTCACTTCACTTACCAGCTCGTCATTCCATGGTAAGCGTGAACTACTCGAGTTCCGCAAAAAGAGTTCAGCAGCCCCTACGACTGACCCACGAGGTCTGCCGTTGTGCCCGTCTCTGCTTCGAAGCGACTTTTGAGGGTGGTGGTGGGCTGTCTGCTTCCCTGCCCTCGCCCCCTCTGGTGCGCGTGGGGGTGGGAAGTGGGCATCGTGTTCAGTTGCAGTTGAGGGGCTGGTTGACCGCACGCCTGCCGTGCCCTTGTCGAGAGGTGGTGTGTGTCTGGGTGTGTTGTGCGTGTGCGTGCGTGACAGCGTGACGCCGCCGTGAAAGCTGACAGCAGCGTCAGTCTTGCCAGAAAAATTGTGCAAATTTCCACGAATACACCCGTGTTTCGTGGACTGCATGGTGTGAATGTGTGGCCTAGTAGGCCGGCACAGGCTGCAGCCCACAGCACGCTGGTGTATATTCGTGCATAACTTTTCTGGCAACACTGGCCAGCGTAGCGCCAGCCTTATGCTTTGGTCCTCGCCCGTGTACTGTACTACTTACCTTACGACCACAGCAGCGCACGGCAGCTTAAGTGGGCCGCGGAGATCGAAAAGTGCACAACCCGCTGTGATTAACCCCAAACTATTTCTAGTGGCCGGATGTAGCGATGCGCCTTGCGCCGCCCCGCCCCGCCCC